CTGACAAGTATAGATCGTTTGGTGCGACAGTGCCCGTTCTATGCGATCCACTTGCATTTTGTCCTCTTTGTCGAAATGCCGATGTTTTTGGTATTTTTTCCGCGGGGACTGGCAATGTCGCTGACCTTCTGGCTTTCCTGTGCAGTTTTTCCTTCGCAATTCAGCGTGCCGTTCCAAGAAGGCAAGCGACGATGCATCTACATGCGAAGCAGCCGACGACGCAGCCGACGAGGCACCCAACCAGGCAACCACCCAAGCAACCAACAGGGCAGCCAACCAGGCAGCCTGCGATAATGCCGCCGACGAGGCAGTCATCGAGGTCCCCCGCAGGCGGCAACGGGTGGCGACGGGCGGGGCCGCGGCGAATACGGGCAAGCATTGTCCGGGGAACATTTGCGGAGCCGCGGGGGCGGACGGGCGTTCTTCGGGGGCCGCGGCCAGGGGGGGCCCTCAGCCGGCCGTGCCGTTGGGGCGGTTTTGTTGCCTCTGTATACGTGGCCTTCGCGACGCGCAGCGAACCTGCGTCTCCGCGCGACGGATCGGGGCGGGGGGTATTGGAGTCTGCGCGCGTGAATCCTCCCGCGCGCAGACGTTTGCGCATCGGGCGCGCTCTGCGGTGTCCGACGCGCCCACTGAACGATCGCTCCGCGGCGGGCATGGCGTGAAAATTTACAGATTCACACATCGGATGCGCTACGCGGTGTCCGACGCGCCCACTGAACGATCGCGCCGCGGCGGGGTTTGGCGCGTGCATGCGCACATCGGATGCACACTGCGGTGTCGGACGCGCGCGCTTTCCGATCGCGCCGCGGCGGGCTTGGCGTGTGACTTCGCACATTGAATGCGCATTGCGGTGTCCGACGGACCTGCAATACCGCTCACATTTCTCATTGCCCCAACCCCCTCTCTAACGTCTCACGTGCACTGGTTGCCCGTGCCTGCTCCCGTTCGCCCCCTCTCGCCCGCTGCCTCCGCTGCCGTCTGGGCTTCGGAGGGCCCTTGAGCTGTTTGGCGACAGCGCCCGCTTGTGTGCATCCGAGCGAGAAAGGTTTCGAGGCTCACAGAGCCTTCTCTCCCGAGATCCCAAAGGTCCTGTGCATCGGACCGCGCTCCGAGAAACCCCTGTTTTGAGTTGATATTATTGCATTGGTAGCGCAGAGCAACTTTCCTACGGATAGCGCCGCCATGTCGAGGAGGAGCACGCCTCCCAACACGCTACCTGCTGGTGGCCGCGCTGCTGCAGATGAGGGCGACGACGACGATGATGGAGAGTTCTCGGCCAGAGGAGGCAAGCGAGGTAAAGGACGTGATCCACACGACGACCATCGATCCAGGCCTCGTGGCAACCTACCGCCTCCTCCGGAGTTCGACGGTAGCATGGGGGATCCCAAGATATACAGACGCTATAAGGCGCAGGTCGAGAACTGGGTTTTGATCGCGAAGAACATCATCGGCCCCGAGGAGATGGCACCAAGACTGTATGCAGCGCCCAAAGACAAGGCTTTCGATCACGTGGAGGACGAGAGCCCGACAGTTTTCGCAGTGCCGAACGGTGTGGAGCTCTTACTCGACAGGTTGGCCTATTTCGATCAACGCCCGACGGTCAAGATAGGCGCCGCGATGGGCGACTTCTTCCACATGGGGCACGTCGGGCCAGGCGAGACACTACTTCAGCTCGCCACTCGAGTAGACAAGGCGGTGCTCCAGGCAAAGTCGGTCGATTTGGACATCCCAGGTCCGATTATCATTCGGCAGTTCATGAAGAGTTCACAGCTGGACCACAGGACACAGGCCACATTATTGATGGCAGCAGGTTCGAAGTTCGAGTGGAAGCCTCTGAAGGGGCAAGCGGCCATCCTGTTTCCCATGCCGCTGGTGCCGCGCAATAGGTTTCAAGGAGATCGCAGGTACCGACCTCAGTGCAGCGCTCACGTTACGAACCAGGAGACGTACGAGAAGGAGGTCACCGAGCCCGACTACAAGCACGATCGCGAAGATTGGCAGGTGACCGACGCAGATTTCGGATACGACGACTCGTGCGACAACTGCTGGGAGGAAGATCCCGGCGACTTCTGGGACGAGCAGCTGCCCGAGGCGCTGGCCAGAGAGATCCACGCAGCTCACGTTACGTTCAAGCAGGCTCACGATCGTCTCAACCAGGCCAACAGAGCACGAGGTTATTACAATACGAAGGGCAGCAAGGGCACAAGTAAGCAAGGCAAGGGCTACCAGCCGAACCGTTCCGGCAAGGGCAAGGGCAATGACGGAGGCAAATGCGACGTGGCATGTCGTTGGAGGACCTCAAGAAGGTGACGAACTGCTCGGCTTGTGGCGAGATCGGCCGTTGGGCAGGTGACCGCCAGTGCCGAGCGCCAGCCTCAAAGAGGACTTCAACAGGTACGACGGCTACACGGAGTGCGAACGAAGCCTCACAGTCTTCCGACGCCTGGTGGCCACCTGCCCAGCAGCAGCCTGCCGGTCAACACGAGCACGATCAAGATGGACGAACGACTTCAGGCGCGTCTTCGGCTTCGACGAGACGCGGTTACAGTGCGAACAGATTACCCACAGCTTCTGAATCTGAGTATGTACATCAGGTCCTAGCGGCGACCAACAATATCCACGAAACACTCGGTACGACGCCGCCTCAGGTTGCCGGTTCACGACATCAAGGTGCTGTCCGAGAATACGGACTTCACGAAGAAAGTACTCAGCACCAAGAGCCCGATCACGCACGACATATCATGTTGACGTGCGGCAACGGTGGCCAGAGGACGAAGTTCAATACGAAGAGCTTTCACAAGGAGCGCTCGGTCTACGTGGTGACGATGGTGAAGGACGTATCAGCACGGTGAACATCGACAGCGACGCCAACCTTCTGGTGCTCGACACTGCGTGCCAGACGACGGTCGCTGGACTACGAGGGCTTCGACTATTTCAAGAACGTTCTCTCGACCGACAGGGTCTACAGGTATGCTCTCAACCCGAACGTGAACAGTATCGCTTCGGTCCTGGCGAGCCGATGACGAGTACAGAACGTTGGTCAATACCAGTCGGAGTTCACGGACGTGCGATGGTTTTGCACACTTCAACGATTGACGATGTGGCGACGGCTCGTTTACCTTTCCTGGGCGGAAGAGACTTGATGACAGATCTTGGTTGTGTGATCGACCTCGCTGGTTATCGGGTCCATTTTCTGGCTGCTCAGCTTCCGAAAGTACAGCTTGTGATGTCTAAGAGTGGACATCTCGCAGTTCGGATCGACGACTGGCCAGTTACAGGGTTTCCAGTCGACGCAGGCGTTGAGATTGATACCTATACAGTTTCGGTGTGCGAGCGCAGCCTGCGAGAGTCGAATCACATCTCACTATCTCTCTGCGATCGTCGGTCAGCTCACGTCACCGATCGAGACAACCGAGACCAGCACGAAGTACATCATTCCGATCGAGCCGACCGAGAACACCACGACGTACATTATTCCGATCGAGCCGAACGACATGACCGAGAACTACGACACCGCAAGCCCGAACCCGATCGAGCAGTACCTCAGCCACGTCGAAACGTCCCCGATTCGATTGACAAGTTCTACGAGTATTTCCGAGATCACGATTGGGGCCCGGGCCCGGGGCGATCTACGAGAAGACGTCAGGAGAATGACGATGAGGAGCGAAACAGTGACACGGAGATCCATCGACATGTTCCGTTCTCAGCCGAAGCAAACTACACGATCGATATCAGAGCCATTTCGGCGCCACGTCATTATATGAGGACAGCCTCAAACGATTTCCATTCTCCATATCCAGAGACCGTGTATGCCACGGACTCCCAAGGTCACCACCGAAGACCTGCGGGCACGATGGGCGATTTTCATTCAGGCAGTGTTTGTGGTCATCAGAATGTTCGACAGGAGTCAAAGGTACAAGGTGATCCACAGTTTTCTCAGCAGACAGTTTCCAGCAATGCAGATCTTGTGTCAGGACAAGACCGTTGACAGCTTCATTCCAGATACCAGGACAGGATCACGGACGAGGATGTCATGCTATCCGGATCCGAACAAGACGTGCTGCCATCCTACCAACGGGGAGCACGAGTGCACAGTTCCAGCCGGGAAGATCAAGGAGCGCCTCTATTGCGGGACGGTCTGGAAGGGCGAGAAGTACCAGATCAGGACGACGGATGTGATCTTTTGGAATCTTGTTGGGGCGCGAAAGACTCCAGGCGCAAAGATCGATCGCATCACTCCGTCGGCAAGCAGTTCATGCGTGCCGCCTTCCTCGTCGGCTCAGCGCTTACCTCCATCAGCACGGCCTGGGCGCCCAAATGCGACACGAAGATCATCGAGTCTACGAGAGAGGAGGTCACCAAGCGCGGAGGCGATGGACGAGGAGCAGGACTCGAGCTGGGAGCGACCACCTCATGCGGAAGCCAACTAACGACAGGTCAGGCGAAGAGGTACTACGGCATGGCCAAGTCCGCCTACAACAACTTGCAGCTCGAGAAGCGCGTCTATGAGAGACGAATGCAGAAGAGCCGTTTTCCACGACGCCAGCGACGCGGCTTCGACATCTACGAGATCTTCGCGGGCGAGTGCGGCATCACCCTGCATGCCACCGACCGCGCCAACGGTTGGGGCATGCGAGCTCTACAACCGGTGGACAAGCTGTTCGGTCAGGACTTGAAGAAGCAGAAGGCCAGGAAGGAAGTGCTCGAGACGATCGACAAGTGGCGGCCGCGCTTGGTCATCATCCAGCTTCCGTGTACACTCTGGTCGCTGCTCAACCGCAACGTCAACTGCAAGGAGATGCCCGAGGTGCTGGAGGACCTACGCGATGAGGAGCGGTGCTTCATCACCTTCACGAAGGACATCTTCGACAAGCAGAAGGACTACGGCAACCGCGCCCTGCTCGAGAATCCCGCTACTGCCGACTCGTGGCGCGAGGAGGCAATCGTCAAGCTCAGGAAGGACAACTACGAGTGCACCTAATATGTGCATGTTCGGCATGGTCGGCAACCAGGGCCTCCCCGTGAAGAAGCTGGTCCGTTGGTTGGGTACGCATCCACTTCTCATTCAAGAGCTCGACCGACACTGTGACCGCAGCCATCCACATGAAGAGGTGCAAGGAGGTGGACCTAATGGCAGCACCAAGCTCTCACAGGTCTACACCTGGCAGCTAGCCGACGCCATCTGCCGAGGTCTCACCAGGGCCATCGAGAGCGAGGAGTTCGGACACGGCATCTACCTGTGCAGCTACTACCCCGTCTCCTACGACGCCCCAGCCCCCACCGTGCACCACGTCTGCTATTCGGCGCCCGACATGGACGAGACAAAGTGGAAGAACATCATGCAATCGGTCGTCGATGTCATGAGTCGAAGGAACGCCCCCTCAGCTCAGGTGGCGCAGGACTCAGAGATGCGGAAGCAGGTGTCCGAGTTGGTTCCCTGGCAGATCTTGTACATGCAGGCCGCCTTCCAGCCGAAGGCGAAGCGTCTTAAACCTGAGTGCGGTCCAGACGTTCATAGATGTTGCGTTCTTCTAGTCGAAGATAATTGCATCATCGTCGAGCATGAGTACGTCCCAGAGGCCTACGCACCACCAGAACGATTTCAAGACCCAGTACGATACGGGTTGTTCATTATCGGACGTGCTCCAGTTGGCTAAGTACCAGCACCACCTCGACCACCAGTCGAAGGCGAATCACGACAGCCAGTCCCAGTACCCGACGAACCACAGCCAGACGAACTTCAGCCTCAGCCTGTTCAACAACGTGCCGGCGACGAGATTTGGTTCGCTGGACACCCGCTCACGCCGGAGGAGAAGCGCGCCGCCCCCATCGTTGCCAGGATGCACCAGAACTTGAGCCACCCGCTGCAGGCTGATTTCACGAGGTTCCTGAACGCGAGCGAAGCGAGCCAGGTTGCGATCGATCTCAGCCGACGTCTGCGATGCAGTTCATGTTTACGAAATGTCAAACCACGACGCCCACGCCCCGCCAAGATTCCATACATGGGTTCGTTCAATGCTCGAGTTGGCTTGGGTGTCTTTTATCTACCTGATTCTGCTCTTACGACACATCAGTTCTTGGGAATTTGGAGATGTCAGGTTTACTGATGGTGGTTATTCATTGTCCGACTCGTGATCCTACTCAGGTGCTGGTGATTTTCAATTTGGCTTGGTTGTCTTGGGCTGGTTATCCAGATCATGTGGTGCGCGATCGTGATGGAGCTTTTCAAGCTGCTTTCGTTGAACATCTTGAGGCTCACGACGTTCACGTCGAGAAGCCCCCAGCTGAAGCTCACTGGCAGTCAGGACGAGTCGAGGCGAACATCACGCTCTGGAAGCACATGGCTAAGAAGGTGATCGACACGATGCAGCTTGCCGGAGTTGAGGACATGGAGCTGATGGCACCTGCGATCAACCAGTCTCGCAATTCTCGTGTTCGACAATGCGGTGCTTCACCATATCAGTGGACTTTCGGTAAGGACCCGAGGATCCCCGACAGCATCACCGACCCAGCTAATTCTGCCGTCGTACACAGCGCCATGACCGCAGACGCCGAACTTGCTAAACGAGCCCGGGTACGAGCCCTCGCAGACATGGCCTTCACCGAGTACGACAGGTCCGAGTCTCTCAAGCGCGCGATGCTTCGAGTTAACCGACCTTACCGAGGAGACTACGCACCGGGAGATCGAGTGGTTTTCTGGCGTCAGGCGAAGAACAAGAAGGGCAAGCAATACCCAGCAAGGTTCATTGTGGCTGCTGTGGTTGGTCCTGGTGGTAGTGGCGGTGGCGATGACAACAATGTTTGGGTTCAGTCTTCAGGACATCCGATCTTGGTTTCAAAAGAACATCTTCGAGAAGCACATGGTACTGAATTGTGGATACCTGATGAGGAGGACTTGACTGAGCTACGCTAGGCTACTCAAGCACCACCTGAGCGATTTTACGACGAACGTGCGGTACCACCTGCCGAGATCGACCCGAACGATGTGATCGTGTCTGATTTAGCCGCTGCTCTACGAGATGAGGGAGGACGTGAACACGTTCGAGGACTTCTACCACCTCCTGCTCAGCCACCGGCTGAACCACGACAGCTAACCGAGGCCTGCGGCTCCAGGGACAACATGACAGACAACATATAGCCAGCTGTTCGGCCATTACCTGAAGACGCTATAGGAGATGCTCGAGCTGCCCGGCGACCTCGCTTTGCAGAACCAGAGACGCCAACTACACCGCCTACATCACAGGCACCAGGTGCGACCTACGTTTGCTTCAACGGCACTGAGCAGAACTCTGCCATTCCGATTTACATGTGCGAGCAGTATACTATTCTCGAGTCGCCAGCCTACGAGGTCTACCTCAACAACAACGGCAGCTTCACTATGACCAAGAAGGGCCAGAAGGCGCTCATTCGTGAGATCCCCTACTCGTAGATCCCTGCAGATAAGCTACATCTATTTCGAGAAGCTCTGGCCCGTGAATGGTCATCTTGGCAACGTTTCTCAGCCGTGGAGGTCTTGGATCTGAAGACGTCCAAGTCTATCGAGTGCGACCCCGAGAAGAAGAAGCGCATTATACCATCACGAGTCTGCTACCGCTACAAGAATGCCGGACGTGGAGTTTCCGAGATCGACGCCAAGGCGAGAATCTTGGGCATCGGCTACAACGACCCCGACATCATGACTCTCAGACGTGACGCACCAACACTTACGAGAGCTGGTTTCTACATCTTGCTGCAGACGATCTCGAGCTGGGACTTCAACTTGTTCGGAGGCGACGTTACCACAGCCTTCCTACAAGCCGATCAGACCAAGGCCCAGCGCGACAAGCCGATCTACCTTCGACAACCTTCTGAAGGACTTCCAGGTGTTCAACGCGGTGCTCTTCTACTTGTACGACGTGCTATCTATGGCTTCGTCAATAGCCCTCGCCTGTGGTGGCGTGAACTGCGTGACTTTCTTATGCACATCGGTGGCAAGCAGTGCCTGCTGGACAAGGCTCTATTCTGTTTCTACAACAAGTCATGTCGCATTATCATGATTATCGGCATCCACGTGGACGACCTCATCGGAGGCGCAGATGCTCGAGAGGGCTCCAAGCTCTTGGAGACCATCCGCCAGAGGTTCACTTTTGGCAAATGGTGGGACAACAAGCTGACCTACTGTGGCAAGCATCTTAGTAAGAACGAGAACGGCACGATTTTCATCAACCAGAAGGAGTTCTGTAGTCAATGCGTGCCGGCGCCACTGCCGCGGTGGAGATCTGCGACGCCTGAGGCCGAGATCACCATCGAGGAGAAGACCAATTTCGCGAGCGGTGTAGGATCTTGTCAATGGTTGGTTGGTCAGACGAGGCCGGATCTAGCTGCTGCGACTTCTCTTTGACAAGGCTCGAACCCGAAGATTTCTAATTTGATGTCTATCAATCGTATCCTACGCGAGGCACGAGATTCTCAAGATGTTGGACTATATGTTGTGCCGCTGGATTTTACGAGAAGTGTTCTCATCACGTTTACTGATGCTGCATGGGTTAACGCTCAGGAGAATCAAAGTCAAGCTGGTTTCATGGTTTTCTTGTCAGATCAAGATAGTTTGACTTCCAAGGGCGGAGCGGCTACTCTTACTTGATGGGCGTTCCCATCGTACTCGTCGAGTGGCAATGGATGCTGGTGTGGACACAGCTTACTTTCTGCGTCATTTGTTCGCCGAGGTCTTGTTTCGGGACTTCAAGCCGGGAATTTCAGGTAATCCCCCGAGTTTCTTCATGCCGATTAAGGTGGCAACGGATTGCAAGTCTTTGTATGACATCCTAACTAAAGAAGGGACTCCATCCGCAACGCTGGAACGGCGTTTGAGTATAGACATCGCTGCGGTAGCACATGTTGCCGAAGAGTTCGATGACGAGAATCCGAAGTCTACTGCGTTTTGGGTGCCGACCGATAAACAAGTTGCGGATCATTTGACCAAGGTAAAACCTCTGAGTCAGTTGCGAGAGATTCTCGCGAAGAATCAACCAAGTCTCCGGACGGATAGCGGATTACCCTCGTGAGTGAACGGTTTCCTGTTCTGTTTCTTAAAAGGCTAGGTGACGCGTCTGAGATGTCACGTTTTATTTCCAGATTGACGTTTTCCGTGTTTCGCCGCCGTGCGAAAGCCTGCCCGTACGTTTGTTGCGTAAGCTATCGTGTGAATCCGAGCTTCGGAAGCAGTTTAATTCGTGCGTCTGTTCGGGAGATTTTGGGCAACAGTAAAGATAGTGAGTGCAATGCCGCTCACATTTCTCATTGCCCCAATCCCCTCTCTAACGTCTCACGTGCACTGGTTGCCCGTGCCTGCTCCCGTTCGCTCCCTCTCACCCGCTGCCTCCGCTGCCGTCTGGGCTTCGGAGGGCCCTTGAGCTGTTTGGCGACAGCGCCCGCTTGTGTGCGTCCGAGCGAGAAAGGTTTCGAGGCTCACAGAGCCCTCTCTCCAGAGATCCCAAAGGTCCTGTGCATCGGACCACGCTCCGAGAAACCCCTGTTTTGAGTTGATATTATTGAAGGACCCACTTTACGATCGCGCCGGGGCGCGCTCTTTATGTAAATTCACAAACGGGACGCACCCACCTTTATCTGGCGCGTCCACTTTACGAACGGATTTTTTCGCGCACTGCGTTTAGATGCACAGACGTGACGCACCCATCGTTAAGCGGCGCGTCCGCTTTACGATCTGATTTTCCGCGTTTGGTGAGTTGAAACAGGACGCGGAGCATCGATCGTAAAGGTTTTGTTTTTCTTCAACAAACGAACAAAAAATGTTAATCTAAAGCAGTTCCATTTTACGATCGATGCTCAGCATGAATTTTGCACACGCACCAAAGGCGAAAACGTCATATCGTAAATTGGACGCGCCTCTTAATGATGGGTGCGTTCCGTCTGTGAAAATACCGCGCGCGAAAACACCCGATCGTAAAGTGGACGCGCCGCTTAACGATGGGTGCGTCCCGTCTGTGAATTTACGTAGTGAGCGCGCCCCGGCGCGATCGTAAAGTGGGTCCGTCGGACACCGCAATGTGCATCCGATGCGTGAGTTCACACGGTAAGCCCGCCGCGGCGCGATCGTTCAGTGAAGGCGTCGAACACCGAGAGGTGCATCCGATGTGTGAACTTACACGATTAAGCCCGCCGCCGCCCGATCGTTAAATGGGCACGTCGGAAACATTTTGGGCCCCGTATTGGGCCCAAAGTTTGAACCCCAAAGCGTTTCGGAAAGCTCCCAGAGTTTCACGGGATCCTGGGGCTTCTCGTGGAGGTTTCTTGGCGATCTCGGTCGGTTGCCAGAATCGGCGGGACAAGACAAGGACGGCGACGACGATGATGCAGATGCGTTCCCGCCTCAGCGCCGCCGGCCACTGCCTGTCTCGGTCTGGCCGACCGCTGCCCCGCGGCAGGGGGCAGGCCCCCAGGAGTGGCGTTCTTGTCATCGAGCCGCGGTCTCGAGCGAACTTCCCTTCTGGCCCCGTCGGCCTTCCACAAAAACACCACTCTGGGCCGTTCTAGGCCGACCGCTTTCTGTTTTTTGGGGGTCCGTTGGGCCCTTCGGGATTCCTCCAGGCACTTCGGGCATACCCGAGCCTCTCTGGACCCCTGCGGGCTCCTAGTAATACTCTGGGCCCCTCCTGCCCTTTCCGGTTTTGGATAAAGATCGCAAGTCCATGAATCAGCATGGTTTCGTTGTTTTCGTTTGTCCAACTGTTCAAATGTGATGTCATACATTTGTATATGTATACATATGCATATAACGTATATTCGAGTACATTGCACCACAAGGTACGGTAATGTGATGTGATGTAATATCAACTCATGTAATGTACTGAAATTTGGTGCGATACGCGATAACAACATACATGGTAAGGCCGCGTGGTGTAATTTTATGAATTGTCGTATGTCGTACCGCAATGTGGTATTTTAGGGTATTGAATGGTGTAGTATGGTGTAGCATGCCACATTATATTATTTTACCACTTTGATATAGGGATTTTGATATGGTAGCAGTTAGTGGAATGCAATATAATGTGCTGTAATGTAATGTAGCAGAAGTCGTCATCATATCACACAACGTGCTATCATAGTCCATGGTGATATAATTCACACACCATACTACGCTATGCTATAACGAACATGCATTATATGATGTATCACATACACACATACATTTACTAGCACCTATTGCACGGCACTAACATACATAGTATTGTATTACACATCATTACAAACCATACGATGACCAATCACTAAGTGTCATACCAAGTAAGACATATCACACCTTCGTTCTGTATAGTATGATTGAACTTTTTTGAGACGGTACAATCGTATCAACCATAACATCAGGAAGTGTAATATAGTACAGCGCAAAGTGTTATATCAAAATACAGAGATTAACGCTCCGAGGAACCCCACATACTTCTTGTATGGCTGGAGTGATGATAGTTGGCGTGAAGCATGTGAGAATAATGTTGGTGGTCATTCCCTGCGCACCCCCTTTGGTGTCGAGAAAGTGCCACGCCTGTTGCGCCCTGGACGACCGGTTCGGATAGCGGCCGCGCTCATAGACCACCTGCGGACCCCCTAATGTTACGAGAATCTGCCACGAGTGCTCCGCCAGCGTTCCCCTGTGCCCTGAGCACGACTGGCACGGATAACAAACTAGCGTGCCGATGTGCCCTGAGCACCACCGTCACAAATAGAGGCCGCGCTCAAGGACCAGCCCGTCCGCACCCCCTGTGGCGTCCAGAATATGCCATGCCTGCTGCGCCCTGGATGACCGGCACGGACAGCAGCGCCCTGGACGACCGGCACGGATAGCGACCGCGCTCAGGGACCACCCCCTGCGCACCCCCGGTGGTGTCGGGAAAGTGCCACTCCTGCTGTGCCCTGGACGACCAGCACGGATAGCGGCCGCGCTCAGGGACCACCCCTTGCGCACCCCTTTTGGTGTCGGGAAAGTGCCACTCCTGCTATGCCCTGGATGACCGGCACGGTTAGCGGCCGCGCTCAGGGACCATAATTTGCGCACTCCCTACGGTGTCGGGAAAGTGCCACTCCTGCTATGCCGTGGACGACTGGCACGGATAGCGGCCGCGCCCAGGGACCAGGGAAAGTGCCACTGCTGCAATGCCCTGGCCGACCGGCACGGGTAGCGATCGCGCTCAGGGACCACCCCGTGCGCACCCATTATGGGGTCGGGAAACAGCCATTCATATTATGCCCTGGATGACCAGCACGGGTAGCGGCCGCGCTCAGGGACCACCCCGTGCGCACCCCCTATGGTGTCGGGGAAGTGCCACTCGTGCTGTGCCCTGGACGGCCAGCACGGATAGCGGCCGCGCTCATGGACCACCCCGTGCGCACCCTCTATGGTGTCGGGAAAGTGCCACTCCTGCTGTGCCCTGGACGACTTGCTATGCCCTGGACGACCAGCACGGATAGCGGCCGCGCTCATGGACCAGCCTTTCCGCACCCCTTATGGACAATGCCATTCCTGCAATGCCCTGGACGACCGGCACGGATAGCGGCCGCGCTCAGGGACCACCCCTGGCGCACCCCCTACGGTGTCGGGAAAGTGCCACTCCTTTTATGCCTTTGAGGACCGGCACGGATAGCGGCCGCGCTCAGGGACCACCCCGTGCGCACCCTCTATGGTGTCGGGAAAGTGCCACTCCTTTTATGCCTTTGAGGACCGGCACGGATAGCGACCGCGCTCAGGGACCACCCCTTGCGCACCCCTTATGATGTCGGGAAAGTGCCACTCCTGCTATGCCCTGGACGACCGGCACGGATAGCGGCCGCGCTCATGGACCACCCCGTGCGCACCCCCTACGGTGTCGGGAAAGTGCCACTCCTGCTATGCCCTGGACGACCAGCACGGATAGGGGCTGCGCTCAGGGACCACCCTCTGCGCACCCCCTACGGTGTCGGGAAAGTGCCACTGCTGCAATGCCCTGAATGACCGGCACGGATAGCGGCTGCGCTCAGGGACCACCCGGTGCGCACCCCCTTATCATGGTGTCGGGAAAGTGCTACTGCTGCAATGCCCTGGACGACCGGCACGGATAGCGGCCGCGCTCAGGGACCACCCTTTGCGCACTCCCCATGGTGTCGGGAAAGTGCCACTCCTTTTATGCTTTTGAGGATCGGCACGGATAGCGGCCGCGCTCAGGGACCACCCCGTGCGCACCCTCTATGGTGTCGGGAAAGTGCCACACCTGCATGCGTGCGGCTGAATGTAGACGCGTGTTTGATGCACGTGCAGTGCATGTGTTGCGTGTGGGTGAAAGGAAGAAGGACGAGGAGGAGGAGAAAGGGGGAGGCGGGAGGTGGTGAGGGAGACGCGTGTGCGACGCGGGTTGGAAGAGAACCAGAACCCCACGAAACATGTTGGGAAATATACCTATACGACCAGCCTTCGGGTGATAAGGAGGTTCGGGGGGGGAGGAACCAACGTCTCACTCGATCGGTCTCACTATCGATCTCACTATCGATCTCACTATCGGTCTCGCTCGATCGATCTCACTCGATCGATCTCACAATCGAGCTCACTCGATCTATTTCCTTCGATCGATCTCACAATCGATCTGACTATCGATCTCACAATCGATCTCACCATCGATCTCGTTATCAATATCACAATCGATATCACAATCATCATCATCATCATCATCATCATCATCATCATCATCATCATCAACGACATCATCGCCATCAACGCAATCAACATCATTACCATCAGCATCATCGGGACACCATCAACATCACCTCATCACCATCAACATCATCATCATCACCATCATCATCATCAACAGCATCATCGTCACCATCATCATCAACATCATCATCGGGGTATCATCATCACCATCATCATCATCATCGGAACACCACCACCATCATCATCATCATCTCATCATCATGACCATGAACAACATCAGCGAAAGCATCAACGGGACACCATCATCATCATCATTAGCAACACCATCATCAAGATCATCATCATCGGAACACGATCATCATCGTCACCATCATAATCATCACCACCATCATCATCAACATCATCGGGACACCATCATCATCATCATCATCAACATCAGCATCGTCATCAGCAACGTCGGGCCACCATAATAAAAATCGTCATCGTCACCTCATCACCATCCTCATCATCAACATCATCATCATCATCGGGACACCATCATCGTCATCATCATCATCATTATCATCATCATCATCGGGACACCATCATCATCACCATCATCATCAACAGCATCATCATCAACCTCATCATCATAATCATCATCACCGTCAGGACACCATCATCATCATCATCTTCATCACCATCAAATCATTTGATCATCATCATCATCATCATCATCATCATGAAGATCATCATCATCATCCTCATCACCGGGGCACCATCATCATCATCACCATCATCATCATCAGAAACATCAGGATCATCAACATCATCATCATCATCATCATCGGAACACTTTCATCATCACCACCATCACCATTATCATCATCAACATCGTCAACATCATCATCATCATCATCATCATCATCATCATCATCGGGACTCCATCATCATCACCGCCATCACCATCATAATAATCGTCAACATCATCATCAACATCAATATCAACATCATCAGCATCAGCATCAGCATCAGCATCAGCATCAGCATCAGCATTATCATCATCGCCATCATCATCATCAACATCATCATCATCATCATCATCATCATCATCATCATCATCATCATCGGGACAGCGACGGGACATCGTCGGGACACCGACGGGACACCGCGCGCCACCGGCCCCCGAGCGGGACACCGGCGGGACACCGCGGGGCACCGGCCGCCCGGTCAAGGTTCTTTTGCTCCGGCCGCGCCTCAGCCACAGGAGACTTTCTCTCGCCCGCCCACGCAGCTTCGCCTCGCCCGCACGCACGGCACGCACGAACACGAAACCGAAACCGATTTCCCGGTATGGGGGCTCTCCGTTCCACTTAGATCTCACCCCCTCACCTCCGATACATCTACCCCACCCCGAAAAGAGCCCCGCCCACCTCCGTGACATTCGGCCTCCTTGTTTGATACCCTCTCCCCGGTGCCTCCAAGGGGCCTCAGGACGCCCAAGAGGCTTCCAAGACGGCCCCACAACGCCCCCAAGATGATCCACGAGGGCCCCGAGACGGCCAAAGATCGCTCCAAGACGCCCAAGACGGTCCCCAGACGGCCCAAGAGACCTTCAAGTCGCCTCAAGAAGCCTCCGATATGCTTCCCAAGAGGGCAGACAGAGACACATGTGTGTTTGTTTTTTCATTGAATTTTGAATGTTTCTTGGGTTCTGGCCTTTTTGGCTTCCCGATGCTGCAAGACAGCCCGAGAGGCCCCCAAGGTCGCCACAAGACGGCCGAAGAGGACCTCAAGCCGGCCCCAAGATGGCCTCAGAAGGCCCCAAGACGGCCCGAGAGGCTTCCAAAACGGCTCAAGAGGCTTTTGAAGGTGTTTGGAGTTCTCGCCTTTTCGGCTTCCCGACGCTGCAAGACAGCCCGAGAGGCCCCCAAGGTCGCCCCAAGACGGCCGAAGAGGACCCCAAGACGGCCCCAAGATGGCCTCAGAGGGCCCCAAGACGGCCCAAGAGGCTTCCAAAACGGCCCAAGAGGGCCCCAAGACAGCATACCGCCCCCGGAAGAAAAGCGTTCCGCCCACCTCCGTGACATTCGGCCCTTTGTTTAATACCCCTTCCCCGGCGCCTCCAAAGGGCCTGAAGACGCCCAAGAGGCCTCCAAGACAGCCCCAGGAGGCCCCCAAGATGTTGGCCAAAGATCGCTCCAAGACGCCCAAGATGGTCCCAAGACTGCTCAAGAGCTTTCCGAGACGCCCCAAGAGGCCTGCAAGAGGCTTCCCAAGAGGGCAGAACGAGATACAGTTTGTGTGTTTTTCGATGGTTTTTGAAGGTTTTTGGGATTTCTCGCCTTTTCGGCTTCCCGACGCTGCAAGACAGAGAGGCCCCCAAGGTCGCCCCAAGACGGCCGAAGAGGACCCCAAGACGGCCCCAAGATGGCCTCAGAGGGCCCCAAGACGGCCCGAGAGGCTTCCAAAACGGCTCAAGAGGACCCCAAGACAGCTCTACGGAGGGGTTTAGAAGCAGGATCAGACCAGACTTTTCGGGCCCTCGACCCCAAGAGGCTCCCAGGAGGCCCCCAGAAGCCCCCGGGAGGCCCACAAGATGACCCAAGAGGCTCCCAAGCGACCCCCCCGAGGCCTCCGAGAGGCCCCCAACTTGGGGGCCACAAGCCCGAACAGGCATTGAAACGGGTCCCAAGAGGCTTCACAACCGTCCCGCCACCTCCTCCTTCTTCTCTTTCTCCGCCTGTGTACGCAGCAGCCGTTCTCCGATTGCGCCCAACACGATGGGGTCTTCTTTGGACTTCCAGTTCCGTTATGATACGCGTCCGGGTGCAGAGAAAAAAGCAATGAGAAGGGATGGGTCGGAGGGGTAGTTTGCCAGACATGGCGCGAGCGCACCGAGCTTGCCCTCCCTTTCTCCTCCGCCCATCGCTCCCACTCCTGCTTTCACTGCTCTTCCTCTACCCGCTCTCGCCTGACACTTGCTCACATATTGTTGTGCCGCAGCTTCACTTTCCGACAGGGCTAGAGGGAACACTCTTTTTCGAACGAGGGCTTTCGCTTTGGGAGCTCCTATTAGCTACGCAGATGGAGTGCGCCTACTTTTGACCATTATGGGTGTTACTTGGGGCTTGGGGCTTCCGTACGCTGCGGGTCCTAAAGCTTGAGAGTTCCAATGGCATTACGGACTGAGGGTTGCCTTTCACAATCGCCAGTTCTCGTTTGAGACTTCTCTTTCATGTACTCCCGAGCTTGAAAGGTCTACCAGCACAGCCCGTGGACGGCGGCTCATTCTATGAAGTGCGGCTGCCGCCCCAGCGGTGCGGCATGCTATAAAGTCGAGGGGCATACTTTCACCAGCACTTCTTGGGCGCCCACTGTTCAGTGCGTTGTCTCGGTACCCGCGCCTTACCCCTGGCGGGCGCTGGCCGCGCGGCGAGGCGCGCCGCTCGCGCCGTCCTGCGCGGAGGCGCCTCTGGGACGGGGAGGGCGTGGCTTGCCGCAGCATGTCCGTCGGTGCGGGTTGGGCTCGCCGCGGGGCGCAACCTGCGGCCCACCGGCGCCCGCTCCTGCTCTTTCAGCAACGGCGCTTCCCCGTCGCAGCCCGATTCCAGCGGGGAGCGGCGGCCGGGAGGTTCGCCCGAGGCGTTCCTTCGCAGGCCTCCAGGTTGACGCCAACACCAATATCGGCGGTGTGCCTCCACCGAGGGACGAGGATCCCGATCTCGGTGATGGTGGTAATATCATGGCTTCCAAGGTGACCGAAATATTACCACCATCACCGAAATCTAGGATCATCTTTCCCATGTGGAGGCAACCCCTGTGCTGGTGTTGGTGCCAATTTCCAGGCCTCCAAATCTTGCCACATGTGATCCTGAAGCTCCTGGAATCTGGCAGCACGTTCGTGCGTGGGAGGGCAGGTCTTTTTCGAAGCGTGGTTCTCGCCTCCGCGCCGCGCACATGCTCCTCAACCAAGCTGAGGGGTTTCCCTGATTGAGGGCGTATCGTTTTACATCTGTCGTTCTAGCCTTAGCGCCGTGAACATTCGTTATCAAACTCTTGGAAGAGCTTAACGGACTGAGGGCAGGTCGTTTTCAACATGTGGTTCTTGCCTCAGCGCCGCGCGAATTCGTCTTAACAAAAAGGAGGGGATATGTTGATTGAGGGTGGGTCGTTAAGAAAGTGTGGCTCTTTCTTGAGCGCCGCGCAGTATCGTTTTAACCACTAGAGTGCGGCTCCTTGTCAACATGTGGTTCTCGCCTTAGCGCCGCGTGCTTGTTTGTATTTTACAACCATTTCACGGCTTACATTCTTTACGAACCAAGCATTGTGTGAGTGTGTCGTTCAGGATTGCCGGGGCGCAACAGATTCGTTGAGTTGCGGTGTTGAAATCCCCGGAATGACTCTATAGACTTACGCCACATCCGCCGACCCTTTAATTGAATTCAAGGTTTTGATAGTGCTTGTCGGTGTTTGGAGGGCTCACGTCGCGCAGTTGGCAAGCCTTTCAGTGCAGAGGCGAGTGCCAGAATAAATTGCCGAAATTGTTTTTTCCGTGGACGCGAGCCATGTCGCGCGTGACGAGAAGAAGGGCACTTGACATGCAAGGCAAGCGAAGGATACCAGTAGGGCACCCGTGCCATGGCCCGAAGAAGTAGGAGCAGCGGGGGTGCGAGCGAGAGGGAAGACGAAACATATGAAAAGAGGAACGCAAAGAAGGGCAAAGCGGAGGAGGAGGAGGAACAGGGGGAAGATCCGTAGCCATGTTGGCCCAAGGCTAAACGTAACGAAGGCCCTGGGCCGAGGTGTTGCGATTAGCTTTGGCCCCTCCGTCGCCCGTTCTCGAGCGATTTTGGGGTATGCGAATTTCCTCTGCTGTGCGCGAGTCTGCCACAGCTGTCCCTTTCTTTACACGCTTTCCACGACGCCGTTTCGGCAACAATTCCCGCCCGCGAGAGCTCCCCCTGGGGGCCAGCCGATGCCCGAGTCCGCTCGCGATGCGCGAGGTGGCAAGCCTGAGGCGACGCTTGCTGCACGCCCCGCGGGTGCCGCAGCCGCTGCCCGCCAAGATCAGGAGCGCAGGGGGTGGCCGCGGGTCGGGTGATGCCCGTTCACGCTCTGGCGGAGAAGGCTCACGGGCGTCGCCAGGTCCCCGTCGGCAGCCTGGGCCTCCGAGTCGTCCTGCTGCTGGCGCTCGCTCTGCTGATCCACTGAAAGGTGCTGCAGACCCTTGGGCGGGCTCCTCCGCCGCCTCTGCTGCTGGACGGCCTGAAGGTAGGGGGCAGGCTGAGGGCGCTGACAATTCCTCGGCAATCTCGCGCGGTGCCCTCGACGAGCTGCTGGCTGCCTTCAAGTCTGACATGGCGCGCACCATCGACGCTCGCATGGGAGAGACCAAGCGAGGGATCATCACTGACGTCACCGGCCACACGGTGCAGCTCGTTAAGGCAGCCAATGAGCGCTAAGAGGCGGTCAACATACAGGTTCGTGGTGAGCCCGATGCACTGCGGACCTCGCCAGTCGGCCTTCGAAGTGCAGCAGCAGCAGCAGCAGGTGCGCACGGAGATGGAGCAGCTCAGGCGCCAGCTTCACATCGCAGAGACGACGGTGCAGCGCGATGGAACGGGACAGGGACCCCGACGGCTCGATTTTCGTGGCGAACACGGAGTCCAACGTCACCATCGAGAATATCAAGGGCCAGCTCGCGGGCTGGATGCAGGACGAGGGCTTCGAGGAGCAGCATTGGTCGGTCATCGGCAATGCCCCTGGCCGGCGCTTCGCGGCGCAGATGTCGGGCGACGCGAACGCGGCCATGCGTGAGGTCAAGCAGGCGCAGCGTTTCCTCAAGCAGAACGGCGAGTGGAGGCAGTTCAGTGGCCAGGATCTTCGTCGGCCTGAAGAAGAGTGACAAGATGGTGCGGCGCGAGGTTCAAACTAAGAAATGGGCCGGCCTGGTTCGCGACGCGCTCCCGGCAGCACGGGTTAGGCACGATCGGACAAAGGGCGTTGTCTTCGTGGAGGGCGCGCCGTGCGCCCAGCCCGATATCGGCCAAGAGAAGGATGTTCCGACCAAGCTTATGTGGAACTACGCGGCGGCTCGCGCTCATAATCTGGGCAAGGATGCGCTGCTGGCGCGCTTCAACGGTATCTTTCATGCGGCGGAGGGGATACTGTGGCAGATTTAACAGTGTATTACAGCCGTGGCACGAGGATCTGTCCTATCTCCCCTCGGTGGCCCCTTCCTTCACTACTTGGAACACTCCAGCTCTTCTTCGTCATCCCCCCTCCACTCGAAAGACCAAGTGCGCGCGGCTGGCGGCTACGATGCGACCTCGCTCTATGATTGCGTCGCAGGAGACCCATGGCACGGAGGAGGAGTTGAGGCATAAGGTCTACCTGGCTCAATAGAGAATGGCGGCGCTTGCTTCGATGCCCAGACGCGATGCTGGCGGGGTCGCGATTTTGCCTCAAGGGCTTTCTCAACGAGAGGCTGATCTGGCGATGGAGGAGGGGCGAATCCGACGTAGCGTGATTGTGCCAGGCTACGTGCAGAGACTGCAGATCAAGGCTCGGGCAGCACATTCGAATGACACTCGCAAACAGGGCGCGACGATGGCGATTTACATCATCCGCAACTTCGGACTGGACGAGTCGACGGCGCAGGCACTGATGAGGAGGATTGCCGCGGAAGCAGCTGTGGCTGCGGCGAACCCCCGCAGCTCGACGGCACTGCTGATGGGCGACTTCAACTTCCATGAGAAGGTGGCGATGTACTTGGCGACGCCCGAGATTGACAAGGGGGTACTCACGCAGGCGCGTCATCGTGAGAGAGGCGACCTCTGGCTGGATGCTCTGGCGGGCCTGGCGGAGCTGGGCCCCGAGCAGCCCGCCCGCCATGTGGCGGACGGGGAGAGGCCCACGCAGCTGGGCAAGGTATTCGCGTCGACCCCTGGCTGGCTCCCCCTCGACTGGAGCATGTCGGTGACGGTGTTGGACAGGCCCGAGGAGCTGTTCGACCGAGGCATTTCTGATCGCGCACCGGCGCGTGTGACTGTCGCCACTTGCCCGCCGGGCCCGTTGCATGAGCAGCCGAGCCCCTGACATGTTTGTTGCTCACCCGCCTTCTCGCATTTTTGTTGCTCCTGATCTCCCACTCACCCCTTTACTCGTTACCCGCCATTGCGAGGTGTCGGGGATGCAAACGATTGCTGCGGGAAGCCGCCCGCATGACCAGGGATCCCCTAATAAGGCAGCAGGCCCCTGAGCTGGAGACCAAAATCATGATTTTTCGCTCGATCGCTCGCGCTGTGAATTTGAATGATGTCCGCCTGGCCTCCAAGTCGCTAGCGTCCGCCCCTGCTGCCGCCGAGCACTTGCTGCTGGAGAGTGAGGGTCTCGTCGTCCTGAGATCTGCGGTCGTCTTGCGTCGGCAATGCGAAGCTCTCCAGCGGCGACGCATCGAGCGCAGGCTAGCTGCGGCTGAGTCGGCAATGAAGGCGTCTGAAGCACTGAAGGATCGCAAGCGTTTAAGGGCATACATGCACGCGGAGCGCAGGCGTGCCAAGCTTTGGGCCCCGTCGAGGAAGACCTTGCCCCTCCAGGCTCTGGTGGGCCCAGACGGCGCCGTTGCATCGAATGCGCAGGAGATGGCATCGGCGCTGCATCAGCACTGGGCCCCCGTCTTTGCTTGGAAGCAGGTTCCTGTCAAGCATGTGCGTAGGTGCCTTGAAAAGCACGCTCGCCCGTTTGACTGGTCTGAGGTGTCGCCCCCCACGGTCTCTCAGATTCAGGCGACGCTAGCTCGGGCGAAACCAACTGCGCCAGGGCCAGATGGTTTGCCGCATGCGGCCTGGCAGCAACGCCCGCTGTCGGCTGAGATGTTATTCGACCTCCTCCTCTACCTCCAGCTAACCGACATGAGTGATATTATTCTGGTCTTCGCGCCCAAGGGGAGGCGTGAGGACGACAGTCAATGTGTAGTGCGTGAGGTCGCCTCCACGCGCCCCCTAGCGCTCAAGAGTGCAGATGTGAAGGTGCTCTCTTCGGTGTGTAATTTCCAGTTTAAGAAGGTGATCAGCTCCCAGGCTCAGCAGGACCAGAAGGGGTTCCTGGTTGTGCGGATTTTTTTTGGGAACATCACTCTCCTGGATACCTCCGCCAGGATCCTGGGGATGCCTGGCCAGGCCAGGGGGCGTCACCCTATCCTCTTCCTCTCCGACTTTGGCAACGCCTTCCCTTCTCACGCCCGCCTCTTCCTTTGGGAGGTGTTGCAGTTCCTAGGGGTGCAATGTGGTTTCCTGGCGTTCTTCCAGGCGTCGTATGCATTGGCGTACGTGAAGGCCCCGCTCCTGGGAAAACTCCTGGACTTTGGTATTATCTGCTCTGGTGTGATGCAGGGCGACCCTGCCAGCGGCTCGATCTGAGCCTTGTCTATGGACCCGCTTCTGAGGGCTCTCAGGCAGTGCCTTGACCTCTCTCCTGGGGCGGAGTCGCGTGTGTGTGTGTGTGTGTGCGTGTGCCCCCTGGAAGCAGAGTTCTCTCCGACCTTGCAAAGGCAGATAAAGGCCCTGCTCG